CCCCTTCCCCTTCCCCTTCCCCTCCCTTCCCCTCTCTCCCCTCCCCTCCCCTTTTGCCTAGCCCTCTAAATCACCACACAAAAGAAAGAATGAATATTGGAGGGTGGGGATGAGAGTTTACACAAATTAGATGTTTCATTCTTTTCAGAGTTTTAATACTCCTATATTCAGGAATTTGAATTGCCTGTCAGAAAAAAAGCCTTCAGCATGCTGGAAAGTGTGCGTGTCCCTCTGTGTGTGCATGTGTGTGTGCACATGCTGGGTGATCCCAGGATGACTCATGGCCCTAGAAGCTATGAGGTGATGCTGCAAACATTTTGGATCTCACAAGTGGCTCTGTGAAGATCCTGCCCCTGGGCAGATTCCCAGACCCAACCCTGTTTGTGCCTGTTTTGGTCTGCAGCATCTGCGAGGGGAACTCGGGGACTTTTTCGTGGGCTGCATCTTCACCGCCGAGCTGAGCACCCCGTTTGTTTCGCTGGGGAAGATCCTGATGCAGGTAAGTCTTTCAGGCCCGGGAGATCAGTTTCTCTCTGGCTTTGTCCCCTGGGGTGGGGTTGAAGGATCCCGGGGTGCACAGTCAGCTCAGACTCAGCTTCGTTCAGGGGTTGCTACAGGGCTGCAACTCAAGAGGAGTTCCAACGGGCACTGCCTTCCAGGGACATCATATCATTTCCCTTCATTTTCATATCAGACCCAGCCAAGCTTCCCCCAGTGACTCTGAGCCAGTCTCTCTCTCTCTCTCTCTCTCTGCCCAACCTATCTTACAGGGTTGTTGTGTGGGGGGAAGAATGGAGAGGGGAGTGCTATGGATGCTGCCCTATGGACCTAGAGGGGGAAAACCTAACTAACGCTGAAATAATATTTCTTTATCGTTAGTTAGATTTAGACAACTCATTAAATACATATCCAGACTTAGAGACTTGCCCCGTGCAAAGAAAGAGCAAAATTTCCCTAGCCCACGACTGACGTTAGAACACAAATCATACAGAGGCGCAACAGACACCCTCCTGCCTGATGCTGGGATTGAAGGTGCTGCTGGAATTCCTCGCAGCATTGTGGCCACTCCCGGCATCGCTCTGCTTATTTGGGGGGCAGCCCTTGCCTCTTGGTGAATCTTCTCAACATTTTATTTTATTTTATTTTAATTTGGGGGGCAACAGCTGAAAATGCAAGATTCCCTTCTGCATAAGGTCAACGGGATCCTCATCCTGGTCACCTTCTTCCTCTGCCGGATCGTCCTCTTCCCGTACATGTACTGGGCCTACGGGCGACAGATGAACTTGCCCCTTTACGAGGTGCCCTTCCGCATCCCCCTGCATTGCAACGTGGCCAACGCTCTGCTGATCGCGCCCCAGATCTACTGGTTCGTCCTCATCTGCAACAAAGCGATGAGGCTCTACAGCAGCTCGCCTGTGCCCGACCGAACCCGATAGCGGCACCGGATGCCGGCTTTGGAACCAACCTGTCTCACCTTTCCGAATCGGGGGCTTTGGGGAGGCACCGTTTCGGAACCAGCCAGGGTGAAGAAGGACCTCCCGTGAGGTCCCTTCGTTGTGGCGTGACAGCCCCTGGCCTCGAGGTTGTATGCTCCCCAAAGCCTCCTCCCGCCCCACGCACAGCTTGCCGGTCAATGACTGCAGCTGCTGCAGTGTCCCAGATGCGGCCAGATGTTGCAGCTGGAACCTGGGGCGCGTGGCCGGCCAGCCGCAGGGGCCGTGAGAGTTCTGCAAGTCTCTCCTTTAGCCCTGAGGTCTCTAGTTGGCTGTTTAGGGCAACGAGAGGAAAGAACACCACACAGACTGATCCGCGTGTCCTTCTCCGATGTACCTAATCGGGGTCTGCCCTGATCTTTTCTCTTCCCCACCTTGAAATCCTGCCATCTTTACACTCCTCCACCCTCCCGTCTCCAAGGCTGCTTCAAGATGTTCACCGTTGTGCCAGGCCGCTGGTAAAACGTCGATCGCCTTATTTGGACACCTTGAAGGCTGCCTTGATTTTAAGAAAAGTGCCGAGGAATTGCCTCCAGAAAATTTCAGCATCCTTTTTTTTTTCTTTGAAAAAAAAAAACCTTAACTTTCTCATGCTTCTAGTTCATAAGGATCACCTTGCCCAGCAAAACGGCAGAAGCTGGGAAAGAGCGGCGTCGCCTTTGTTCCAAATCACAGAAGGATTTTCGGTTGGAACAGACAATATTGCAGAATTCTGCATTTTTACAATTTTTGCACACCCCAGGTTTTCTTTCGATGCACAATATGGAAAATGTGGCCAACATCAAAGTCATTTTGGAACAGATGCCAACACTTGAAGTTGATAACAAACTCCTTGTTATTCAGGAGGACGCCAACATATTTCAAGAATCCAAACTTGGCTTTGGATGCTGAATTAGGGGCAGGATTTTGGACTGGGGAAGGAGAGCGAGCCTCACACTCCCTCCGAAGTCTGGGCCAGAATCAGCACTCTTGAACCCTTGTTTACTGCTGAACATTTGACCCAGAGTCATCTGCAGGTAGTGGTGGTGGTGGGGAGTCAAATAAGTCAAGATGGCAGCTACGTGAGGGCAAGACCACCCCTTTTTCAATGCTGCGTGTGTGTGATGCACCTAAAAATGGAAGGGGCTTCAGTTACGGAGTTCCCATTGCCATCTTGATTTTTCTGACCCTCCCTCTCTGCAGATGCCCCTACTGAACAGAGAAAGGAAGGAAAATCGGGAGAGTGAGCGATCTGAAATGAAGAAGTATTTCAGGTGGCCAAGGATAGACTGAACCAGCTGTATTTGCTGTGCAGATCTGGAAGAGAAAAGAATCATAAGATTCGCTGGTGCCTTGCAGTTGTCACTCTGCTCCCCTGAAGTCCGTAGGATTAGCAAGCCAAGATCACGCAGTAGATGCCAATTCACTTGCACCAGCAACATGTCACGCTTCTGATCTGCAGCCACATCCCGTGCCAGCTGCCCCTCAACTGGGCCTAATTCAGCACACCCAAGAAGAGAAACGCTTGGCTGAGAAGTTTGGTCTGTCTCTGACCATCCCTTCGTATAGAGTGGGCCTCTTTCCACTCATTTCTGGAAAGAAGTTGGGCGTTGCACCCTCGAGGCTGTGTTTTGGGGCACAGGAGAAGGAAGAAATGTTTCCCAAACCTGTCCGTGGCCAAGTCAAATTGACGGACCTTGAAAGGGTGGCCAAAGCTGCTAGCGAGAGTGTGATCGCCTATGAGCTAAGCAGGTGTTTGCTTAACTCTTGAATAAACCACGGTTTACTGGCTGTGTCTGGATGGTCCACCAGACCATGGACAAGCAAACTGGATTTTGTGTAAAGCTGTAATTTCTGCAGTTGTTTTGCTCATGGTAGCAAACAGCTGCTTAGGTTTAAGAAGTGGGTTTGGGACTTCCCACCAAGTTGGCAAACAGATCCAGAAATCAGATGAGGAAGTTCCTACAGTAGCCGAGATATTAGTGAATCATCAGTTGATTTCTGAGAAGGCAGCCTGCTGGGTGGGGAATTCTGGGAGTTGGAGTCCACACGTTAAAAGTTGCTGAGGTTGAGAAACAAGGTTTTAGATTACGAAAAACGTCATGGGCATTTTCTTCCCTGTTTCCACCACTCCCTCAAAATAACTGTTGCTTTCATGCTCCCCCGTGTGCCAAGCCTGGTTAGTTTTTTCTGTGTTTTGTGAACCTGCTCCATTTTGTCAATGTATTTTGCACATCCAGAGAACGAGTTAATGCAGGAACCAGATTAAATGCGTTGTCTGACAGTCCTGGTTTATATTAATAAGTCCTTGCCCCGACAGGAGCATTTTTTCCCCAGTGTTAAAGCCCTCAGTGATGTTACATCACCTTACAATGTTGTTGTAACCCCCAAAAGTGCAATATATAAATATGCGCACACATGCACATTTGCACGATGGAGAGTTGCTGAGATGCATTTAAACACTGCCCTGCAGCCCAACAGGGTTTTCCTCCTGCCTTTGTTAAAACATTTTTAACATGAGATGTGGTGCTGGCTACCAGCTTGGCTGGCTTCCAGACGGGGTAGGAGCAACTCCTGGAAGTCCTGGGCATCGGGGCTCTTAGCCTGGCTGGCAGTGGGACTGCCTCTGAAGGCCTCCTGCTGGGAGACTGGCGGGCTTCCTTGGGCAGCCGGTGGGCCACTGGGAGAACAGAGCTGCTGGATGAGACGGGCCAGGGGTCCGATCCAACAGGGCACAGCTTCTGTTCTTGATCTTAAAATAGCTGATTTTGTGATAACCCTCCTAGCAAACGCTCCTGTGTCTGCTGTATTTCTCTCTTTCTTGCTGTGATAGGCCTGCAAGTGTATTTTGTTGTGGTGATTGTT